ATAATTAATATGGGGCAAAAAATCGTTTTTGTGTGGTAGACAATAAAAATTGAAATACAAAAATCTGGTGAATAAAACTAAAAAAAATGTTCGAAAAACATTGACGTTCATAAGAAAAAAAGGGAGAAAAAATTTCGCATACTTATAACGATAATTTTACGGAGTCTTAGACGCTCTTTTGCCAAAGAAAATAAAAATCAGAAAAAAATCCTCAATTTGAGTGTCCTATACTCGAAGAAAAGCTTTAATTTAAAATTGAACTATATATATATCTTGCTGAATGGATTGTTTAAAATGATCAAGTATATACAAAAAAAAAAAAAAAAAAAAAAAAAAAAAAAAAAAAATTAATAAATAAATAAATCGCCAATTTGGCGGGAGTTTTCCTCTGAGATGTAATTCAGTCATATCAAAGAATAGTTCTCAGTTTTTGAATATTTTTTTACGAGTCCTAAAATATGGTGTTAAATGAACTTATTAAATATTAAATGAGATCACAATTTTTCTCTCTCACAAAACTGTCACTTTTTTTAATATTTCACAATTTGCGTGGTTTTCACAATGAGCTTAGAGGTCGCTGGACAGAAAGAAATTTATTAAACACTATTTCCTTTGACAAAGGAGCCTACAAAGAACAACTTTAGATCAATGAATAGTTCTCAATTTTCGTATATTTTTACATGATCAATGCATTATGGAATTAAATTATCAAATATTATAAATTTAAATCATAAACGCTTTTAATTTTAACAAAACTCTCTTTTTTTTATTGACATTTTGCGCCAATTTTATTGTTACCATTATTGAGGACGTCAGTTTAAAGAGTTACAAACTTAACCTTTATGGTCATTAGCGCGCTGCAACTTTAAATCAATTATAAAATGAGATTATTATTCTCTAACAAACGTTATTTCATCTAACTTCCTTCATTTAGTATTTTTTTTCTTAACAAAAAGTTAGTAAAGAATCAGTTGTTTCTTAAGAGGCCTCTTCCCGAATTTTGTTTTTAATTTTAGATTTTCGTTTTCTTGATGCTTTTTTGCTGTTAACAAATATTTGATGTTATGATTATTATTCAGAAGCACAAAATCTTTTTTAAAAAATGTTGAAAAGTAAAGGGATTAGGAAAAATAGATCTTGATAATTTTAAGAACTATGAAATTTTCCTAAAAACTTTAAAGCAATAAAAATCTGCTATAAGTGGTTTTGAATGAGTAATTTAAACCTAGATATTTATGAGTTTTTAGATTTTTTTGAAGTTAATTTTATTACAGTTCAAACTGATAAAAACCGATTTGGATGATTCCTTTAACGTAATATGCACAAAAACAAAGATATTTATCAAAATTTTAAAAACAGGTAAATGTATACTAGTTAACAACCTTTTAAAAACTACTGATTGCCAAACTGTATTGGTATAATTTTTTTTCAAAAAAAACTAAATGAACCACACGCTTTATATCTCATTTTCAACTTGGGTGACTGCCTTATATTTTTACATCTATCGAAAGATACTGTCGAATTAAGTATCATCATTTATTTTAAATTCACCATCAGTTTATTTTTGAAAATTGGACTAGAAAGATTATAGCTGTATGTTTAGAATTTTCTCTCTCCTCTTCATTCCTTCTACTGTTTAATATATATATATTTTTAAAATAAACTTTACATTACACTTAACCAATTAAATGAACTCTTCTGATTTGATTATTTCAAGCTTATTTTCTGTTATATTTTAAAATATTTGCTAATACAAAGCCGAATTATTTAATTGTTTGACAAAAAATTTGCCGTATTTTTTGTAAACATATTTGATTTAGTTATCATTTTAAAATTAATAAATTCCATCGAACTGTAAGAGTTTAAATAAAATTTCTTTACTAAAGAGCAATAACCATTTTTATTTGTTGTAAAATGTTTTTTATTTAATGCGTCGGATTTAAGTATCTGGTAAGTCCGTAAAAAATAAGTAAGATAGAAAATTATTTCTTAAGTCTCTTTTATTTTTATAGATAGAAAATTATTTCTTAAGTCTCTTTTTTTTTAATGCTCATAATCTTACCGTTCTCACGCTGTCTCTTATTTATCTTTAATATAAATATAACCCTTAATCACTTTTCGTTCACAAGGTACAAATATCCTTTTGTAAAATAGTAATTAATAAAATAGTAAAAAAGAGTAATAATTTTGATGACTTTTTACTAATTTTTAAGGCCCCTTTAGAAATTATGAACCCTAAGTCCAATCCTATGGATAATCAGGCCCTGGTTTTGATTGAATCTTGAATGATTCTGCGATGTGCTCATAATAGAAAACATTAGCTCAGAAACTTGTTGATCCAAACCAGGAACAATATCTGGCAGCCAAATCCTGTAAACTTTGTAGATTGCTTATCAATACGAATTTCCTAAACTTATAATTGTGATCGTTTGCATTTAAAAATAGCTCTAAAGAAATATTTTCAATGTAATATGTTGCTGTCTGTCGGTAATTTCCATTTGAACTTTTAAGTAGGTATTATTAAATGCCTTAAAGTTTGTGCTAAGTTCTTGAAAACTGCATTATTTTAATCTTTAAATGTCAATAATTCTTTGCGCTCTGCGTTTTTAAACTTACATGCTCTTAAACAGTCATATTGAATCGTGCGAAGGATTTTGAAAAGACACAGGTGACAAATTAATCGAATCAAAGGTTTTTTTTTTTAGCCGAGTAGGTTTGTATTTGGCATTTCTCGTTGTATTAACAATTATTTTTTCCATTGTAAATATTTTGTAGTTACCAACCCCTGTAAAAGGTCAACTTCATTCTTATGAGTAAGTTTAGAAGCGTTTCCTTGTTAGCTTGTTTTAATTCATAAAATCTCCTCCGCTAAATAATCTAACAAGGCTATTTATGCGTTAAAGTTGATCAAATTAATGCCATTATTGTCAAGTAGTAAAATATCCAAGCTTCAATAATTTTTTAAACTAATATCTTCTTCTTCATCAGCAGTAAAGGCAGTCTTCAGGATTTCTCAGTCTGTTCCACGTTATATTATCTCGTAGCGTACCTTTCGCTTTTTTATGATATGACACTGTATTCATGCCACGACATATTATTAAATCAAAAGCAATTATTTTGAATCACTTCAATATATGTATGTATTATTATGTAGTATTTATCTTCATTTATAACGCTTTTTTTTAAAAAAACAAACGGAAAAGTTCACTTGACGTAGCATCGACAACCAACCAGCATTTTTTATTATTATTTCACGCTAACGTTCGTAAGTTTTGACTGTTGAATTGAGCTGGAGGATAATGTAAGTTTTTAAACGTCCTAATAAGAAGGGAGAGCATACCGCCTTCAAAAGTTTGAAAAGAAAACTAGTTTGATACATTCTTTAGAAGAAGAAGTAAGAAAGAAATTTAAAGGGGAGAGGGTGTATATATAAAAAAAAACTTACCTAGGCTCTTTTTAATAAGAAAATACTTACGGGCTAGAATGTAGCAGCGCAAGGTCGCCCAGTGTTTTCTTCAGGCAGGGCAAGTTCGGGCTGCTTTTCCCACGCCTCTTGGAGGTTGGAGGGCAACCTGTGGGTATTTTTCTTTGTGGGTTAGAAATTATTATGAGACTTATTTAATACATAATCGAAATCTATGGTAGCTCACTCTTAATGAGTTCTTATGGGTTAACAACTAATGATTTCCGCGCCATTTGCTCACTGTTTATGATAGCGTGTCACCGTCAATAATCTATATTACATTTACGAGTTCTTAATTACTCCAGGCTTTTATCCATTCAAACAAACGAATTTTTTGTGTGTTTTAATACTATTTTGAATATATTTGTAAAGACAATATCTGTAAGAATATTATTTTGAACATAATTAAAGAATCGACGCTCTTCTTTAAAGGCTGTTTTTCGAAGGCTCTCGTCGTAATTTGAAAGGATGTTTTTTTACGAATAATATGCTATTTTTATAGTTGCTGTGAGTTAGCAACTGTTACTTATGACTGTTAGGTCAAGTTTAGCCTATGTAAAGCCAGTGTTGTCGACGCTTATTTTCAAAATGGCTCAAAACGTCAGTATGGAGAAAAGCCACAGTTTTGAGAAAATGAAAAGCTTTTGTAGTCTAATTTTTTAATATTCAAAAACTTACACCAATGCTGCATTACGATTTTTAAAAAGACAAAAGAATTTTATTTATAAGATTTTGTATATTAAAACTTGTGGTGTAAGGCACTTAAATTATGACTTTTTTATTTTCCTTGGCGACAGAGCTTCAAAAAACAGCGTTAAAGATATTCCTCATTTGGGGGGGGGGGTCTAAAGTCGTGGATCCTATAAGTTTAGTGAAATTTGTAAATTTGACAATCTCTGTTAGTCATTAGTAAGCTTGCAAAAGTTTCTCTGTTCTAAATTGTATCTCTGTACCCTTTAAATTTTTAACCTGTATCCTGTACTTATTTTTGCTTTTTAGAACGAAGAAAAAAGCTTGATTTTAAAATAAAATACAAATGTTGTAGATTAATGTTTTCCCCCCCTCCAATTAAAAACGAGGATGGATATGATTTAGGTATATTAACAGTATAATTCATAATAAACAACAAGTTAATACTTCGAGGTCAAATGTTAGTGCTATAGCTTCACTATAACAATGTTAGACCGTAATTTAAGGTCTATAAGCGCAATCAAGCCGTTTTGTTATTTGTTTTATTAATATATATAAGAATGCACGTTTAGGTTAATAAATGTTTCACTCTATCTTTATGAGCAAACGATAATATAAATCAAGAATTTTTTTTTTCTTTTTTAAATTTATAATTCTTTAAAAAATTTCTTTTTAAATTTTTGCAACTTAAAATTTTTTAAATATATGCCTCTTTTTAGTTGATATACTTCTATTAAATATAATTAATAATTGTTATAGTTTATAGCAAATGTATTTTATAGATAGTAACTTGTTTTTTTCTTTTGAATTCTATTCTCACAACTTATTTGAATGTTATTTTTTATAGGTTTCCATTTAAGTGGCATTGTCGCTGCGCCTAAGTCTTCTAGTAATAGCTCACATCCTAATTTTCCGGAATCGGACAAAAGATGTAGAGTGTCCATTACGTTTGACAGGTAATTATTTAAAACATGTATTATGTTAGAACTTCATATAATATATGAATTAATTGTTATTTTTTTCAGTTAAAAATTCTTGGAATATATTTTGTAATTATTATATTAAACATTAGAATACAGAGCATTAGAATGCCTTATATAATTTTTTTGTAAATAAGAAAACAAAAGTAAATATTTTGTCTGCAAATCTTGAAAATTTTTTGCATCTTTCTGTCATTGTCTTTCTGTTCATTTATATATAAAAATAAAATTTTTATATTTTAATATTGTTTTTTAAAAATATCAATAAATGTATTAAAATATATTTATTTTATTATTATGAAAAAAAATTGATTCATTTTTAAATATTTATTTGTGTGATTTACATTACTATAATATTTATACAATAAATAATTTTATTTTTCATGACTTACATTATGAACTTAATTTAGGCATCATTTTGTCAAGAATGCTTCCTCAGTGTCAATTCAGATTACCAATAATTACAGCCTCTTGTTAAANTATATATATATATATACACTCAAAAAATTCTTAACTGTTCATTCTATGCATTGTTCTCTCAATTCAGCCTTTTAATTTTTAATAGTAACCAATTTAGAGCTGTTTTTTGAAAAAAGTGTCTGAGTAAATTTACCTCATTTGGTTGTTAAAAATAAAAATAAAGCTAAGACAAAAAATAATCTGTAGAGCTAGTTGCCGTACCAGAAAGTTTTTGCTGCCAGGTGTATATATATATATATATATATCTGTGTGTGTGTAAATATAGGATTGATTAACACACATTATTCAAGGCTAATTAACAATCAGTATAATTGTATTAAAAATTATTAAATAGAAATTTTCCTTCCCTCTAATTAGTAATTTTATTCCTCGGTTTCCTTCTGGAATATTTTTTAATGTCAAAATTTTATCTTTAAACTGAATTTTTTTTTTTTTTTTTGAGAAAAATATAAAAATTTTATGACTTATATTCATTAGCTGTATTTGGATGAAAAATATTATAAAATTGATAACTTAAGTTTCTTGGATTTTTTTATTTTTCTTGAAGCTTGTGATTTGTAATGAGTAAGTTTTTACAAATTTTTTTGACCATAATCTTATGTGCCTTTTTAAAATGTTATTTTTTGATTCTAGGTGTAAAATAACATCTGTAACGTGTACGTGTGACACAAGAGACATATTCTGGTGTCAACATGTTGTAGCTTTAGCTTTATACAGAATACGCAATGCAGATAGTGTTAGACTACGCGTACCCATTTCTGGTAAATTTTCATACCTTTTTATTATATCACATTAAAATCACATTTATATTTTTATTAAATGTTTGTCTTATAATTGTTTCAATAGCGAGCTCTTAATGCTCGTAAAAGGTATTGATATTGAAGACATCAATTGCAATTATGAATACACTACAGTGTGTGTTAACCCTCTTTTAACTAAGTTTTAAAATTTTTGCTTAAGATCAGTTTAAACTTTTTAACAATTTCTCAGTTCTTCAAAGTGCATCTTATCCCATCAGTCCAATTTCGTAAATTTAATTAAAAAATGAATATTTTTTTAGTAGTATAAAATATTTCTTTTTGTTTCATATTTTCTGAAATGACTTGTGAATTGTGAATTCCAAACATATGATAAAAATCAAATCTAAAAAGTAATAATACTAATCTTAAGAAATGTATTAAATGCCTTAATGTCTTAAATGAGAAATGACTGCAAAATATCTTATAAGATATAAACCAATTTCAAATAAAATTTTAATTGTTCTATTTTGCTGACATAATCGAAATAACTTAAGTACAGCATAGCATACAAAACATGAAATTATTTTTCTGAAATATATTATCCTAAATAAACCTAAGGATATATTTAGCTTGTTCTATGCATACAGCCTTTCGTCTTATAAGCTAAAGCTAAATGTGTGAAAATTGGAGAAAAATTTGATGAAAAAAAATGCAATAGTGTCGTATGTAAATGGAATCAGATTTAAAAAGAATCAATTACCAATGTTGTAATGAAAATATTAAACATTTACGAAATTAGAATAGGTAATATCAATAAGATGTAGAGTTTTGCTTTAAATTCAAAAATTTATCTTGAACCTTTTATCTTATTGGCTCTGAATAAAATTATGCATTTTAGTGCTTAAGACGTAACAAATCTGGAACATGTCATAGAAATTGTAAAAATCAAAAGATGATTTTTTTTTTTTTTTTTTG